AACTTTTCTTATTTGCTTAATATTTGTAAACTGAAAGAGCGGTATGAAGAGACCATGTAATGCTAATGCATTACTATGCAGCTGTGCTCGGATAGAAAACAGATAACATGAGACAAGATGCTTTGTAATGTAAGGTGATTTGTTTTTTAAAGAAACAGTTATGGTTAATTATGTTTTCTATAAGTGGCAACATTGAATATTTTAAGATATGGTTAAAAACATTTAGTTAAAATAATCCTCTAGCTCTAAGCTGAGCTCCCTACTGCCATCAGATTCATGACCTGTACTCGCGGCGTCCTCCCCCGTGGGAAGGAGTTCTGTAAACAGGACGCTGATGGTGGTATTGCACAAACAGAAGAGAGGAAATGCACGATCATGTCGAACTTGAAGCCGCTCAGAACTGTGTGGTGTTTTTTTGCGAAACTATTTCTTTTTCAACTCTGGTGAACAGTTGCAACCTCAGACGTCAGTGGATTTTATTGGTATTTTTCAGATGGGCCAGAATAACCACATACCTGACAAAGGCACGCAGTGCTGTCTGTTCTGCTACGCACATGAAAGTGGTGTCAGGAAGTCAAAAAGATGCCCCCATGTTTTTCTTTTTTTCTTTTTCTTTTTTACATATATATGCATTTATGTTCCATCCTGAAGGTATTAAGTACTTTAATTGAAAATAAGTTCTGCAGCAAAGCCACCACAACACTGTTACTTCTTTTTGTATGTTAAACAAAGACCACAGAGTAAAGGGCAGGTTAGACTTCTGCACATCAAATGTCGCTTGAGTTTGGTCGTGAACCAGTTTTGCTTGTATGCTTCTGCACCGCCGGGACACAGCAGTTTCCCGCCGAAGCGCAAGGGGGAGCCTATTGGAGAACTCACGAGAACTTTGGCGGCGCCGGCAGGAGTGTTTACCTTCCAAAACAACAATGGCGCGTCTGCAAGATGTCACGGAGATGGATCTAGAGTTGCTAGACATCAAAGAGGAACAGGTTCGGTTAATGGAGTTGGCAAAAAGACAAAGGAGGACACATAGGACGTGTGTACGCCCCTTAAATCAGACTACGGATGAGACTGGGGAGTTTCGACCCGGCAGCGAATCGAGACGGACGACCACAGAGACAGCTGGAAAAGCATACCAAGGACCAATCACAGCTGCTTCTCTCTGCGCGCTTCCACTTGAGGTCTGCGCCGGTTTGTGACCATCCGACGCGTAGTCAGGATTTTTTTTTTAGGTGTGCGATGATTATAGTTTTCCATTGTAGTTGTTCCTCGGTTTTTAAAAATGCCGCGCCCCCGGCAGCGAATCGAGAAGGACGACCACACAGACAGCCAGAAAGGCATACCAAGGACCAATCACAGCTGTTTTTTGTATGAGCACCTCCGCTTGAGGTCTGCGCGGGTTTGCGACCGTCCGACACGTGTGCAACAACGGTTGCAGAACTTCTGTGCGGGGGGCATGGTCGAGCACAGAGACAGATTTGACGGTTGCAGAGGCTGTGCATCAAAGGCATAAATTGGCGTTCAAATTGCTTTTCTTGAATCGTTGCTGGCTCAGTTGTTCTTGTGTCCTGCTGGTCTGCTGTGGTTTATACTGAGCCTCAGTGACTCAGGCATCCTGCCACAGTCTCACTTTCACTTTCCAAGCCTTGGAGTGTGTGAAGAAAAGAAACTGGGATTTATATAGTTTGTGGAAGAGTGAGCTATACTAAATGGGGATCAGTTACTGATTAATGAATACGCCTGAAGCTGATTGAGCTCTTCTATTTATTAATAAGGAGCAATTTTCTTAAAAACCTGAGTTTTCTATTGTATCAAGAGGGACTTTCCACTTTTTTTCAGTACCACAATGTACTGGGGGAAAAAAAGTGCATTGTTGTATTTTAAGTTTATTGTGCCACCTATAGGAAATACTGACTGAATAAACAAACATTTGTTTTGTTTTTTTGTTTTTTTTTACTATTATTAATCTTAAGATGCAACAAGATGGGAACCTTTTGGCAGGGGCGGATTTACCATAAGGTAAAACTAGACAGTTGCCTAGGGCCCCAAGTTCATGGGGGCCCCATAAAACTCTTTTTACCTGTATGGTTAATGCACATTGTTCACATTAACTAGTACTCATGTACTCATTAATGCTCCGTCACTGGGAATCCCGCTCAACAGCAGCCTCTGGCCCGGTCGCCTCTTCGCTGTTTGACGCTGTGAAGGCTACCGGTTGGAAGGCGTTTCCATGTCCATGACCAGGATAATAAATCAAACATATTTTTCCATCAGATTTCGCCATTTTAAGTTAATTTAGGCGTTACTAAACAGTTTCAGAGGAGTTATCATAGAGCTCTGCATCATCAGCGCTGCCGGTCTCCCTGCCAGGTCCCAGATCAGCAACGCGCTGCAGACAGAATACACGTTAATGTGTTTTGAAGCCTTGATTTCGAGGGGTGGTCTGAAAGGGGAGGCATGGTCGTGTATGTTCAAAAATATAGCTAGATGGAACTGTTTTTCCAAGATCTCCTACAGTACCTTTATACCCCGTTTACACTACCCTTAAAAAACTGAGCCGAGACCGGTCCGAGCTCAGTAACTGAGATAACTTGTCGTGTGTGAACGGAAACAACCTGAACTGAACCGAGATAGACATAACCGGACCGCGCTAACTGCAGACCAGTTCCCGAGGTGGGTTCGGCTCGGTTTTTTCCTGGCTCGGTTCTCTGATAACAAGAGCGCATGAGCAGAACGCGTCATCGCCGACTGGCTGAACATGCCAATTCACACTCCATTCCAGTAGTTGGCGGTAATGCCCCACCGGAAGTTGCTTGCCAACAAACACAAAACAGAAGAAGAAGAACAAGTATAAACAACAGAGATCTTCTCCACGCAACATTTTCAATAATGGCTTCAAAAGAGCGTGGTGCGACCTGGGACGACGCCGAGACTGAGGCCGTTATTGCTATATGGGCAGAGGACGCTATCCAGGCGATGTTGGAGGGCGCGAAACACAACCACAAAGTGTTTAAAAAGATTTCGGACGAAATGACGGTAAAGGGATACGACCGAGACCCGAAGCAGTGCCGAGAAAAGATAAAAAAACTTCGAACACATTATAAGAAGATTGTCGACCACAATAACAAGTCGGGGAGAGGAAGAAAAACGTGGAAGTTCTACGGTGCCATGGATGAAGTGCTGGGCCTCCGTGCATCGTCGAGACCTCCAGTACTTATAGAGACCTCTTCTCTAAACCCTGCAGCAACAGGTATGTTAACGAAAATCATTAGTTTTTTATTCTGTTGATCTACTAATCTACTAAGAAATTTCTTTAACTGCACTTTTTCATTCATTTTTTTGTTTCCATTTTAGTGGACGATGATGCAACATCAGACCACGAGGAGCATGAGTACAGCACGCATGATGGTATGTAGGCTCTACAGCAGCATGTCCACATTTATGCTTCAACAACCTTTGTTTACAGTATCAGTGTTAAAATGACAAATCTGCTGCCATTAAAAAATGTGTTCAATTTAATCTTCATATCTTTCTCTATCAAATTGAGATCTTTGTTTACTCTTGTAATACGGCATTAAAAGTAGCTGTAGCTCTACATGTAAATTTGAGGGTGCATGTATTTCAGATTCAATATTTATCTATTTTCTTTGTTCTTGTTTGTTGTTTATTGCAGAGATGGATGATGAGCGGTCTTTGAACGAATCTATAGCAAGTTGTGTTTCTGAGGAGCCAGGAGGAAGTCGCATTCCTGAAGGTCCTGGCGATGATACTCCTGATCCCAAGGCTCCTGAATCATCTGTTAAACGCAAGAGGAAGAGCAAAACCGTAAAAGCTATTGACTCTACAATAGAGGAATACATTAAAGCTCAAAAACAGTCTGATGACCTTTGGCTGGCAGCATTTAAAGAACATGAGGAGTCAATCCAACGACATCAGCGCCACATGATGCAGGAAATGGAAAGGAACCGATTTCAGGTAAAAATGCATTTCTTTAATTAATCAGAAAATGAAATGTACATTTGACATTTACATAAATTGTTTTTTTTTTTTTTACAGGCTGAAGAGAAACAGAGGGAACACGAGATGCGGATGATGCAGATGATGGTCCAGTTGTTGACTCAACCAGCACAATTACAACCTCTGAACCCTGCGTCCCCTTCGACTTCTGTGCCAAATTTTTCGACTTATGGACCTTATCAATAACTGCAACATATTGTAAAATATGTAAAAAATTTTATTGTTTTACAAATGTACAATACATAACATGTTTATACAAAAATTGTTGTTGTTACTGACTTTTTCAAAATATACACCACACTAGTAATTGCAAAATTATGTAAAACTAAACTGTAAGAAATTATTTAAAATACATAACATTTAAGTCGATGTAGGCTAATTTTGCTCTGCAAAGTAACGGCAGAGAGCATTTCTTATATTGTGGGCATTGTTAATATCAGGATTGTTATCTCCATCAACCAAATTGTTCCTAGGTGGCTGATTTGCCTCATTGGCCCACTGATCAAGGAAATCCTCTCCTTGCATCTCACAGATATTGTGTAGGGTACAGCAAGCAGCGATGACATTTGGAACATTTGATGTCTTGTTGTCAACTCGTTTCAAAAGCCTTCTCCATCTCCCTTTTAGCCGCCCAAAAGCGTTCTCTACCACCATCCTGTTACGGCTATGGATGTGGTTGTATTTTTTTTGGGCTTCTGTTGTCCCTGCATTTTCTGGATAAGGCTTCATCAGCCAGGGTAAGAGAGGGTATGCTGGATCGCCAAGTATAACGGGAGGCACCATCACACCATCAATTTCTGTTTGAAGATGGGGGAAAACACCATTTTCCCAAATCTGGTATAGACGGGAGTTGACTAAAACACGAGCATCATGGGTGCTTCCTGGCCATCCAATACAGAGATCTCTAAACATATACCTGTCATCTACAAGCACTTGCATATTAATGCTATACCAGCCCTTTCTATTAAAATAATCAACTCTGCTCTCCTTGGGGGCGACAATGGGTATGTGTGAGCCATCAAAAGCACCTATGCAAGTCGGATATCCCCATTTTTCTTTAAATGACTCCATAATATTTCTAGCCTCTATATCAGTGGGTGGCTTTATGAACTGTGGTGTCGGATGAAAAAATATTGCTTCACAAACATCCTTGACAAACATGCACAGTGAGGCTCTGGATATTCCGAAAAGGTGAGCAATGGTCCGATAATCTGATGTGGTTCCAAGAAACCACAAGACAGCACCAACTTTCTGCTCCACAGGAATAGGCTGTCGCATCTTCGTTTCTGCCTTGGAGACATGAGGCCTGAGCGACTCACAAAGCCATTTGAAGGTTCTGTAGCTCATTCTGAAAAAAAAAAAGAAATTTCACAATATTTTTGCATTTATTATACGCAGTGCTTTGTCGTTTTTCACTTTATTAATTCAGAAATCAAAACAAATAATGGTTTCATTCATCGCATTGCTCTTCAGGAAAAAAATGGGTCTATCAGTTGAAGTATTAATAACCCTTATTTAAAAAATGGGAAAGAAAATCAGCTTTTTTTTTGTAATTACCTGAAGTTTTCGATCCATTGCTGAGGGTTGAATGTCTCTCGTACTATATAAAGCCACCAGTGTTCGCTCCGCTCTCTCATCCAAACCCTTCTGTAAGCACAACAAAAATAAGGGAGACTTAAAAAAAAGCGAAATAATACATCTCAAATGCGGACAGTTAATGGAAAGAACAGGTAACAAGTATACTAGCTTTCCTACCGTTCCACACGGTTTCCAGTGATTACTCGGCTCAGCAGTGTGATGAACCTCAGGGTCCGTCGCTGTTTCCGGCGTCTGTAAATCCGGAGTAGACGATAATTTCCCTGATCCACTTCCCAAAAGCCGACTTTCTCAAGTACATCCGCGCAAGGTTGCCGTCTTCGCCTGACCCACCGCAAACACCGAAGTACAGCAATAATAATCAAGCATAACTTTCTGAATGTGACGGGTGCCGCCATTTTGATTTGCTTGATTCCCTCCTCCTTCGTCTTCTTCTTCTTGGGTTTTACGGCGGTTGACAAACAGCGTTTGGTGCATTACCGCCACCAGCTGCTTGAGTCCCTCCTTCAATCCTAGCAGTAATACCGCACATCGTCACTAGGAGGCGAGGAGTCGAGATAACCGAGATAAGTGTGACGTGTGAACGGTCGTCAAAACTGAGCTTGGCCTGGTTACCGATCCAAGCTCGGACCGGTCTCGGCCTGGATCAGTTTTTCAAGGGTAGTGTAAATGGGGCATATAATCCAACTAGGGATGTAAATGGCGGTGAACATCTGTGAATTTGGGCGGCTTCAGAAACGCACCGCAGCGTATTCCGTGGAACCGCTCTGACCGATTAGTGTTAGTGCCATCGAATGGAAAGGCGCAGAGCACAACCACAACACCTTTCTAGTTCAATGGAACCAAGGGGAAAAGGTTTGCCTCATGTAGAGTATACCCAAGGTTTGGAAGATGTCAGCTTGACATGTCTCTTGTTTCTACACATAAAAGCAGGATGATGTAGGGCGCAGGGCAGGAGCTGCTGATGCAAGTCGGAGTGAATCTAAATGATAGAGATGCTCCACTGACGCACGTCGTAGGGATGAGTCATGAAATTGCCAGATCAGGATCGCTGCTTTCTGTCGCACAGGAATATCTCATTTGGCCTTGGACACACAAACCGTGGAACATCAGGCAGCATAAAGCCTCTGAGGGAGATAACCTCCAACCTTTCTGTTGATTTTCAGTGAACTGACTGGAACTAATTCATTCCCTGTTCACCTCATCTGTTCAGTCCACCTACTGTCTCACAGTTATACCTCCATAACATCTGCTTATTATAAAAACAGAAAAAGCTGAAACTTTTCTTTTATTTCAATGATTCAGAATCAGCAGTTCTGTCAATTACTGGAAACCTTAAGAAACTGAAGTTTAATCACCAGTTTTTCACTTTTATCCACATATTTTGAATCACCTGGGATGAAAATAACAAAACTTCTACATCTAATTTGATTATTATGACCATTTCGATCAGTAAGTGTTTTATTGGTCTGCTTTAGTCTTTAGTCTCGATTTTAAGCCGAATCTAAATTTATTTCATCGCTCAATAACGGCAGCTGGAAAGGTGAGAAATAAACAGTGATGCTGAACACATTTTGACCCTCTCTAAATGACAAAGATATAGATGTATTAGCAGACACTTTTTTTTTTTTTATGGTTTAATAATGGTGTCCAGCTATGGAGGACCAAGTCTGCCATATCTACAAATAAATACTACATAAATAATAGCTCAATAAATTAAATAAGCATACAATTAATTTCCCCCAAAAATTCAATAAACAAATAAATGTAGGTAGAAATTATACAGTGAGACATAAATGTGTATGTATTTTAATTAAGCTGACTCTCTTAAGATACACCCCTCCTCGTTTGCATAATGAGGCAGAAATGCAGACAGAAATGTAAAAACGACAGACAGAAATAAATAGCATTAAAGAAATAAATAGGGTGAAAAAAAACAAAGAAAAAAATAAAACGGAACAAAATATAACATGCACAAAAATATATACTTAAAGAAATAAGTAATGAATAAATAAAGTTGAAGATTATAATGGACAATAAATAAATAAGGTAATTATAACAAAGGTGAATAAATAAAGAAGCTAATTAAAAGATTCATACATTTATCTCTCGTTGTATACTTTAATTTCCACCTACATTTATATTTTTATTGTGTTTTGGGGGGCAATTAATTATATGCTTATTTATTGAGCATTTATTTATTTCTGTTTTTTAAATATGGCAAAGTTGGTCCTCTATATCTTTCAAAATCAAATTAAGATGACAAAGATTATTCAACTCTTCAAATTTGGTGATAAACACAATATTAAAAATTACAGGATTATACCTTTGCTTCTCAAATTTAAAAAATATTGGAAAGAAAATCTGATAATTCTTTAGAAAAAAAACATTGTTTATTAAATGACAATTTGTTTGGTTTTAGGAGCAATCGCTCAATAGCTTTAGTATTAAAGAAAATCACAAGAACCACTACAGAATATCAAAACCATACAGCTCGAGCTTTTGATGACTTTAAGGTTTTTGATTAACCTGATCACAGCGTATTGATTGTAAATAAACAAATATATTGAATAATAGGTTTAGCTGTAGCCCTAATGATGTCTACACTACATATATCTCAATATATGAATATATTTTCAGCTGAATGCTTTTCTATCTTACAAGATTTTTTTTTCTTTTTTCAGTTCTTTGCTAAAAATGCATATCTGTTTTATCCGTCTCCAGCCCCAGAAACCGCCTTTCATCAGACATCATAGAAATCCTAATCTTTTACAAAGTTCCAGACCTGTGAGGGAGCTGCTGATTTTGGGGGGGAGAATTGAACGTTTCTTTTTGTTGGATTATTTCTTGTTTTATATTTTCTGACCATTCTTAAAGCTACAGTGTGTAATAATTACAGGGATATACAGTCAGAAATGTAATATATATATATATAACTATGTTATTTTATCATCATCTACGAGCTCAGCCTCTTAACCTTAATATTTGCGTTGCCTTAGAATTCGTTATTTATAATTACATAGGAGCGGGTCTCGCAGCCATGGAGGCAGACATCTTTGCACTACGGCAGCGCAGAGCCAACAAACTAGCGATTGCGAGATCGCCCATTATGCTCGAAAGTAACTACGGCAAGTTGAGAGAGATTAACTGAGACGGTACTGAACACAGAGACTAATGAAATACTATCTGTAAAATTATCTATGTAAACAAACCTCATCACTTGAGAAGGTAGGTGATGCGGACGTCGTGGAAGACATTTTGTCCCGTAACACTCGCCATACTGTTGGGGGGGGGGGGGGGGGGGATGTTCATGTTGCTGCGGTCTGCAGTCTGGACGTTAGATGTCGCTGAAAATTACACACTGTAGCTTTAAAATAAAGTTATTTATCCCTATTTTTTTAGGTCTATAGATTTTCTTTTCTTTTGGAAGTCTTTAGCATGTGATGCAGCTGAACTCCTTAATAAAACGGTAAAGTCGTCCGTTGGTTTAGTGGAATCTTGATCCTGCGGTTAACATCTTCAGCTGAGGGTTAGATGGTTCACGTTTTCTCACAGTGCTTAAAAGGTTTGAAAGTTTTTGCCACTACTGCTATTTCTACATTTGATCTCACATTTAAATGTCACAGTAGTTTAATGTTGATGATCAGATGCATGGCCCAAGCATCATATGCATAAAACAGGTTTGTAGCTTAAAGTTGTAAGGAAATCATATTTAAATTGATTAAACATGTATATAAATGTATTCTTTATCAGACCATATTGTCCAAAAAGTTTGAAAATTTCTCTTTTCAAAAAAATCCTGTCTTAAAATCTGTGTTTAAGTTTTCTTATGCAGGCCAGTTAGTTATAGGTCAGCCTGAACACCTAAATTCGGCCAATCGTATATCAGCGGTCATCTGTCAATCAAATCTTTTCGGCGATAGCATCATGATTCAATGATAGTCTGTGAAGGCTGAAAACCTCTCGGTTGGTTTAGGTAAACTACAGATTTGTATCAATGACATAATGTGCAGCGCCTTTAAAACACAGAGACTTTTGGGGGGTTTTGTTCTGTTTCCTTTTTTTTTTTTGTGCGTGTGTGTTTTTTCTTAAGAAATGTGAGCGCCTCTGTCAGAGTTATCAGAGAAACACGCCTCAGGAACGGCTGTTATCATCGGCGTCTGAGGCGTGTTTATCTCCAGAGTCGTGTTTTTTAAGGGTGTTATGTTTTCACCCCAGAGAGCCGATGTGGGTGTTTGAATGATGAAGTGTTGGTGATGCCCCAGTGGACTGCTATGTGCTGCTTCAGCAGGGTCATTAGGTGACGGGGGCCCAGGGAGGACTAGCATGGAAACTTCTGTGCTGCTGAGGGACAATAACAACAAGGATTTCTTTTTTTTTTTAGTTGATGATGAAAACACTAATGAAAATAAAATGAAATCCTATTATAAAGGGATGCAAATTATTGATCAAGTTATTCTGCATTTTTAATGATATTCTAAATTCATTTTCTTTCATATTTCCATTTAGGAAAAATATTTTTTTTCTTCCAAATGTCCATGTACTTGGAGAAGTAATCAAAACAAAGTAATTGATACCAAGTGACTGACTGATACATGAACTAGTTGATTTTTTTTTTTAGCCAATATTAGCCTGTTTTTATTTGTTTGGTTACTTTTTTTTTATCTTGTACTGCCTTGCAGGATGCGTTCAGGCATTGGCTGATTAATTAGTGCATTTAGAAACCATGCCTTATGTGAAGTGCATATCTGGCATCCCCTTTATTTGCTATAAATTGTTTTTGAAATTTGATTTGTTCATGAATGTGTTTCTTTTTTGTCATAGGGAAATCATATTTAAATGTCAAATCATTATGGCTTAAACATGTATATAAATGTACTCTTTAACAGACCATATTGTCCCAAAAGTTAGAAAATTTCAAATTTTTTTTTTTATCTTGTCTTATCTGTTTTGTTGTTGTTTTTTTCTGATATATTATGCAGGCCAGTTAGTTTTACGTCAGCCGGTACACCTAAATTCGGACAATTTTATAGCAACGTTCATCTGTCAATTAAATCTTTTCGGTCATAGCATCTTGATTCATATGTCGCAGCTAATATACGCAACGGTTGAAATTAGAATCATTTCCTTTCCCATTGAGTTCCGTCCCAGTGTTCACAGGGCTGGACGTCTGTGTCTTCAGCAGGCGTAGAGCTAACAGAACTGGCAGCGTTGCGAGGCAAGGGCTCAAACATGTACGGCTGGAAGCCTTCTACACCAAACCAAGCTTCTGCCGCCCTGGCGTCCTCTTCAACAACATCTTCGTCCCCGCTTTCCTCCTCTAAATAAAAAATGTATGACGGAGGAGACTCATCCACGACCTCTGACACAAAACTCTCCTCCTCTTGCATGTTTCCTCTGTCCATAGCGTTCCTTAACAGTGTCGTTTCTAAGTCACCAATTTAGTGCCACTTGGTCCCAATGGAATTTCCCATTGGAACCTACTATCACTAAGTTGCTAACTGGTTAGCAAGATGCTTCCAACAAACCGGCTACAATTAAACTTGCTTGCAAACCTTCCGCCACAACAATCCCGCCCTCTTGATAAATTACCAATCACATTCACTTTATTCACTCGTGTAAAGTCGTGCACCACTCGGGAGAATTCAGAAATGCAACGGTTGGAACGGGTGCTTCACTACAAATTTAAACTAGCTTTTCTGTTATTATTATTAACTCTATTATTATTATTAGTTTACTGGTTCCAAGAATCGGCCCAAATATCAGCAGCAAATATCAGTGATCGGGATTGACTAATAATCTCTCATCTTAAAAAACCAGTCGGTCGATCTCTGCAGTCGCAGCTCTGAACCAGGGTTCCTTGGTTCCTGATCCAAACTGCAAACGTTTCTTCTTCTCTTATCACAATAGTCTCCTGTGAGCAGCAAAGCAAAACCAATAGTCATCTCTAACTGATGACGACTGGTTCTGCTTGTTGTTGCAGAACTGGTTGTTCTGCAAAGCAGTAATGATAAATCAAGCATACTGTCCAGGGAGAGGGGCGATTGCATTAAGTCGATGTTTATTGAGTTTAGCTCTGCTCCCTGTTCCTGCAGATAGCAGGGTCCATATCAGGACATGCAGAGCTTCTGAGAAGCTGTAACCATGGAGACGTGATGCTGCACTTGGTTTATATGTAAATAATCATCACACCTCTGTTTGGATCTCAGATCTGATGGTGTATGGAGTGAGTTTTGCTTCAATATTGTATCAAAGAACATGTTTTGCAAATGGCAGTTTAATTAAAAAAAATACAACCCAGAAATGTACCTGAAAAATGTACAATCAAAAAGGTTTTCAGATAAACTTTGCTGTTTACCTAGATCATTAAAAAATTCCTACTTTATTTTACTTACTTTATTTATATATTTTTTTGATTATATTTTCTAAAAAAATAAAACATTTCCTCTGCTGGATGTTGGTAATAGCATTTTCATTTGGCTAGAAGTGACGAGAACATAGAACCAGTTTGAAAAGAATCCCATTCATCAACCTCAATCTGAAAAAAATAAAAAATAATTAGAGTAATTTGGAAAATTAAAGTAATTTAACGAAATTTATTTGATTATGACATTTTTGTAGAGTTTCATTTCTGGGTTGCTTTATTTAATTTCGACAAGTATTTAGTTTGCCTTCAGCAATACTGGAACAAATTTCCCTCCATAGCTGTGCTGTTAGTGTGGAAGTTGTGTGCCTACATGTGCAGGTTCCACAAAAACCATCAAAAAAACATTTAGTAGACCCTTTTAAGTAGATTGATTATTATATATATTTTTTGTTTTTTTTATTAATCCAAAAACCAAAGAAAATGGGATGTAATCTATATTTAATTGAACTTGATTTATCTCACATTGGAGAAATTTACCCCTGCATTTAACCCATCCCCTTGGGGAGCAGTGGGCTGCCATTGTATGGTGCCCTGGGAGCAGTGTGGGGGGTTAAGGGTCTTTGCTCAGGAACCCAGAGTGGAGGTCTGTGGGAGTGGGGCTTGAACACAGAACCTCTGGATTCCAAGCTCTCTGCCCCTAACCACTAGGCTGCCGCTCCCTCTATATAGAGATAGTTTCTCTCTTTTTTCTTTTTTTATTCTATAATAATCATCACCATCATCCAGCTGTCCTGTACGACTGTTTCTTGATCATTTTCAGGCTGCTGCTGCTCAGCACTGTTTGTGTTTGAACTGGAACACAGAACGATCCTCTGGCTGAATAAGCTGAGTGACATCATGACAACTTTAGAGGATAAAAACGTTTCTTTGCAGAAGCATCACAGTTATCACTGTGGAGCTGGGCTGCAGTGAAAAAAAACAAAGGGAGCATTAAAGAAACACAAAATAAAACCAAATAAATGTACCCACTACAGTATTAAAGGATTATTAACAATACAGTAACCATCCGAAATAATCATTGTTGTCTTTGCTTCTCACTCCGGAGGAAAGCCTGCCTCCAGAGGATGTAATCTATGAAATGCAATTTGAGAAGAAAACTAATTGAGTTTTATATATATATCGTCTAACCAAATCTAAAGAAAATGTTGAAAAATGATATTTAAAAAATCTTAGTTGCTCTTAAATACCACCTGTCTGACGCCCAGATGTTTTCTGGCACCATCAGTAGTAGAAATCCTCCATCAGAGGCTCAGTCCTGCTTTATTGTGCTGCGTTTAATGTCCAGACAACAGTCGCTCTCACTCAGGCCACCGCAAAGTCTCAAATTGTCATCGCCATGGTAACGGGGGGGGGGGTGCTAGCCTACCACCAGCTGGTCACTGCTTCAGATTTAGTTTGTTGGGGGGGTTCTGCTGATTTCTTCCTGGGTTAAAGTCGTTCTCCTGTCCTCCTCCATCCAGCCTCACTGTGTAAACTTCAGAGTGACGCTCCGTGACCCTGTGACCCCAACATGTCATCTGAGGCCACGCCCATCCAGGAGACCCGACCTGTGACCCCTCCCCTGTCCGCTGCAAAGTCCCCGAGTTCTCCAGGTAAATAAAAACACACATTACTGCAGGAGTAATTTATTTTCACATCTGGATTAACAGACATGAACAGATGCAAGAAATTAATATTCCTTGGATTTTTCTCCTTGATTTATCCGATTAATATAGATAAAAAACATAGTTTAAACCGGGAATTAAATTATTTCCTGTTAACTAAAGGAGGTGAGGCTGCCTTCCCTTTCTGTCTGAATCATTTAGAAATACTTCAACTTTTTTGATTAAGACGTTTTTTAAAGATTTATTTTTGAATTGCATTTGTTTTCTTAAATTTTCTAATTTGCTAAATAACAGAACTAAATTCACTCCATATTTGCAGGTTAGAGAAACTCTCTGCTTTTACTTTTTTATTTTTTTGTAACACTATTATTGTGGTATGGCTGGATCCAGTAGGTCCCCATCATGGTATGATGATGTGGCAGCCTGTGTGTATAAAATGCTTCTTTAAATGTGATTCGGGGCCGGCCTTCTAAAGAAGCGAGCCCGGTGTTAAGCGCCGCCATAAGTAACCTGCAACTTCTGTCAAAATCTGCTGTCATGTCTCAGTCATTTAATACACAAATATAGTGTTGTTTAAAGTGTTTGTTCTGAGGGATCTGGTCTCAGAAAAGAATCGGGGAGAGAAGCTTTAAGATGTAAAGAACTTTGCATTACAGTGAAGTTATGCTACGATCAGACTGCACGCGCTAGAGGCAGGAGAAGCAGATGCTTTACATGCAAAGTCAATGGTTGATGCACATTAAGTTGCAGCAAAAGGTCCTGCAGCACGTTTTGAGAAGCAGGAGCAGCGCCTCATGAGTTTCTGAGCATCTACTGGAGTTGAAATAAAAAAGTTGAACTTTTGCTGCTGGACGCACCACATCAACCAATCAGAAGCTGATCTTGGAGCTGGCAGGGAGACGGACACATCACTGCTGATGCAGATCGCTATGATCACTCCTCTGAAACTGTTTATTGAAGCTTGAATTATCTTAAAATGTCGAAACCTGCTGGAAAAATATGTTTTTTATTATTCTGGTGCCTGCAGTTTGAATTTCGTACATGGAAAACGCCTTCCAGCCGCCATGAACAGTAACGGAAAACTGTGAAGACGCAACCGGGCCAGAGGCTGCCGTTGAGCAATTAAATTCAGTTTATTCATATAGCACCAATTCACAATACAAAATCTCAAGGCACTCTACAGTTCAGCCAGATCATACAGTCAAATTGATTCAAAGTTTTCTATCTAAGGAAAACCAGTTGATTGCATCGACTCATTGATTAGAATGCAATCCCTCACACTAAGCATGCTTGTAGCGACAGTGGAGAGGAAAAACTCCCTTTTAACAGGAAGTAACCTCCATTAAAACCAGGCTCAGTGTGAGCGGCCATCTGCAGAGGCCGACTGGGGTTCAAGGAGACAGAAGCAGAGATATTTCCGGTGACGGCAGACCGGCCAATGTACGGGGGTCTGAGCAGCTCCGACAGAAATAATATTTGATGGCAGGATGGTAATCTGGATGAACTGACTGCACTGATGTGAGGTTTCAGGTGGACTTTCTCACTGAAAAACATTAAAACTTCCTTTTACCCACTGATCACAGCAAATAAAGCAAAGCCGCTCTCTGCCATTGAACACAGGAGCAGCAGACGCATCCGACGTCTCTGGACACAATTTACAGGACCCGCTTCAGGAGCATCAAAGTTGCTCTTGAGGCGTGTCGGACCTTAATGTGTACAAGCATAAAAAATATGCAGCAGAAGCTTTTTTACTGCTCCAGCTGCTTGCGGTGTGAACCCTACATGCTGCTTCATTTGTGATGCTTGTACAAGTTTAGTTCTGATGCACGGCTGAAGCATCTCTGCTGCTCTAGCTGCATGGGTCTAATGCGCGTTGGGCGGAGCTACTCTATCCTTTCTTTGATAGAGTAGCTGGCAGCTATATTTGCTGTTATCAGTGGGTAAAAAGTAGTTTGAATCTATTTTGAAGTGAGAAAGTCCACCTGAAAACTTCCATCAGTGCAGTCAGTTCATCCAGGTTACCATCCTGCCTTCAAATATTATTTCTGTCGGAGCCGCTCAGACCCCCGTACACCGGCGATGCTCTGTCACTGGGAATCCCGTTCAACAGCAGCCTCCTGCCAGGTCGCCTCTTCGCAGTTTGCTAATACTGTTCACAGTGGCTGTAGGCAGATGTTTGTGTTTTTAACGTACGTAATCCAAACTGCAGGCACCAGGATAATAAAATGGAACATATTTTACCAGTAGATACTTTAATAAACGTTAAACTGTTTCAGAGGAGTGATGATAGCGCTCTGTATCAGCAGTGATGTGTCCGTCTCCCTGCCTGCTCCCAGATCAGCTTCTGATTGGTTGATGTGGCGCGTCCAGCAGCAAAAGTTCAATTTTTCCAGCTCCAGCAGCTGCTGCTTCTGAAGTGCATCACGAGCGTCAGATGCTCAGAAGCTCACGACCCGCAGCTCCAAACGCGCCAACCTCTGACTTTGCATGAAAACTAGCTGCTTCTGCTGCTTTAGATCTGAACGTAGCATTACTCATGATGGATGGAGCAGCTAAACGCTTTACTAGAGGAAAAGTAAAAATAATGATGCAGTAAAACTACTTCTAAAAGTCGATTTTTGTCAAAAAGTCCCTCAAGTAACTGATTTAATGTAACTAGTTACTACCCTCCTCTGCTTACGTTTCTTCATGGCGTTTACATGGTTGAAGGATGAAAATGTGCTGAGTCATGCTAAACCTGCAGCTCCTTATTAAGGCTCTACCTGCCTGCTCTGCTTTCAGAGGCTCTGCATCTTCCTACCAACAAGCTTAGAGAGCGTTCCCCTTCCCCGATGAGAGACTTCCTCATCCCCAGCCCCCTGCCCACACGCAGGAACAGGACCTTCTCAGCGTAAGAACACACACACACACCGGATGGTTCACAGCTTTGACTTTATGGTGGAAGGTTTCTTAAATCATGCAGATTTAGATTAAACCCATAAAGAAGGACGTCAGCTGTGTCGGTTTCAGCCGTTTTCCCTCCATCCTCTCTCTTCTCCAGCTCTGCCCGCGCCTCTGAGGGCCCCGTGTATTCTGGCGTGTGTAAATGCTTCTCCCGCTCCAAAGGCCACGGTTTCATCACGCCATCAGACGGAGGCAGCGACATCTTCGTCCACATCTCAGAGTAAGTGTGGCTCTGTCTGTTTTCTGCTTTGTCACCTGCGATGAGGTGAAGGGAGAGCAGCTGCGGTTTCAATCACCGTCATCGAGCTCTGCCGGCGTGGGAGGAGGAGGAGGAAACAAACACGCAGCAGAGATGTGAGGAGTGTGTAGGAGGCGACGGGGCGACCTTCAATAATGTGTTTGGAGCTGCGGGCGTCAGATGGACATGTGTCCTCTAAAACATAATGAAGGGATCCAGCTCCTCTACCTGCTTTATTTAGCAGCAGTTTCCTTTCAGAGAGAGAAAACTGTGACATCAGGTTTGATGCAGGAAGTTCGAACTAAAAGAGAATCAGAAAAACCTTTGATAAAAGTCAGACAGGAACCAACCGTGAAGCAGCAAAACCACACATTATCATTTGAGACTTAAATGCAGTTAAAGTAATAGGGAAATCATATTTAAATGTCAAATAATTCTGGCTTAAACACATATATATATAAATATATTTTTTATCAGACGATATTGTCCAAAAAGTTCGAAAATTTCTATATATATAAAAAAAAAAAAATCCTGTATTAAAATCTGTTTTTTTGTTGTTTTTTTCTTCTCGTTACTTTATGCAGGCCAGTTAGTCATACATCAGCCTGAACACCTAAATATAGCCAATCATATATCAACAGTCATCTGTCAATAATTTTTTTCGGTCATAGCATCTTGATTCATATGTCGCAGCTAATATACGCAACGGTTAATATAAGAATCTTCGCAGATAAGTGGTGACTGTTACAGGTCTATAGTTGAAGAGCGAATTGTTGGCCGTTTCTCAATTCACAAGACACGAGTACGAACTCGTGTTCTCGCCAAGTATGTTCTTGAGAGGAACACAGGAAAGTCTGGACTCTGGGAAAACGCAGCATAAATATGGGTCAGTTGGAATGAAGTGTACTGATGACATCACCACACTCGGCTCGTCCAGAGCTGCACTTCACCTTATTAATAGTTCTAGATAATAAATTCTACCTTTTTTTCCATTTAGCGGGGGAATAATAATGAACACAGTCAGATAGAACATTTTGCAAAGAAATACAGAAAAAAAATCGCCATCAGAGCCAGCGGTCCTTCACACACGGCTATGCAGAGAGAGAGCTGCTAACGTTAGCCCATTCTGCTCTCGGAGCGCTGCTGGTTGCTACGGTCCTCAAGTTCTGAAAAAAAAAATTTTAAGTACGCATTAAATCTGTAAATGGGGCATATAGTGATGCTTTGAAGTATAATGTTCTCGCATCAAATGATCTTACAACATAATTTTATTGAAAGCAGAAAAGAAAACTTTTAACTTAATACTCTTGGCTCCATTAGCGCTCCATAGGAAGGAGATGGAGGAGACTCATCCACGACCTCCGACACTAAACTCTCCTCCTCTTGCATGTTTCCTCTGTCCATAGCGTTCCTTGACAGTGTCGTTTCTAAGTCACCAATTTAGTGCTACTTGGTGCCAATGGAATTTCCCGTTGGGAACCTATTAGCACTAAGTTGCTAACTGGTTAGCAAGATGCTTCCGACAAACCGACCACAACCAAACTTGCTTGCGAACCTTCCGCCACAACAATCCCGCCCCCTTGATAAACGACCAATCACATTCACTTTATGCACTCCTGTAAACTCGGGCACCACTTGGGAGAATTCGGAACGGTTGGAACAGTCGTTGCATTTCCCTACGACTTTAAGCTGCTTCACTTGGCCCCAAGTTTTTGTTTTCTATTTAAAAACCATATTTATGAAGGAAGCTAATTAATCTGGGGGGGCCAGGGGCCCTGAGCAGACACTATGACCGGCCCTGCCCAAATGGGACTAAGGTTTTTGTCTTTGTTTATAGTTCTGCCTCCTAAGTTTTCCCTCCTTCTTCTGCTCCTTCCAGCATTGAGGGCGAGTACGTTCCAGTGGAAGGAGACGAAGTGACCTACAAGCTCTGCCACATCCCTCCTAAACATGAGAAGGTCCAGGCCGTGGAGGTGAACATCGTCCATCTGAAGCCAGGAAGCAAGCATGAGACCTGGGGGGGGCACATCATCACCAGCTGAGCACCTCACTGAGTGTGCGGAGTCAGGGGGGGAGACGACGTCTGCAGAATTTAAAGGGGGGTGATGGATATGATGAGATTCCAGTTTAAATCCCAACCGTCTCATAATCATCTAGTTTTGCAGTGTGAGCAACCGCCGGTTGCCCCCGGCGACTCGCCCAATCCTGGACAGAACCGGGTTTTCTTTGGTAGGATCTGCATCTTGGACTGCAGACATCTTTATTCCTGTTAATCGTCACCGCGGTGCATTTACAGAGTTTAGAGCATAAAGCTGCAGCCTGTCAGTGTTTCCGAGGATGGAAAACTGATCTGGGTTCAGCTCATCTGTGTGCCTCCATTCTTCAGCCTGTAATCTCTACTTGATCATATTGGGAGAAATAAAGGATTTTCAACAGATCTATCCTGTGTATCCTTTTGTTTTCTTTAGAAAGACATATTTATGACTAAATAATATCAGGTAATTGATGCACCTCCATTCATTTTCTAATCTATTCTATGAACATCTTCAAGAAATGAAGATCTGGTCCTGTTCCTCCATCGGGCTGAAAGCATGTTCAGTAGCTTTTATTTGTCCCAGTATGGGCAATTTTTGTGCAGTAGTAGTAAACCTTTCACACACACGTTCACATTTCACAAATAAAAAATAAAAGAAGAAACATAAAATATTTTAAAAAGATAAAAGTAAGTTTAAAAAAATATGTGCGGTGCAGGGGATGAATGAGAGCATAGGCCTATATGCATGCAGCGTCTGCTTTTCCTAGTAGAGTTTAGCAGCTGAACAGCAGAGGGAATAAAGGAGTGTTTGTATCTGTTGGTTTGAGCTGGTGGATGTTTAAAACGGGAACCAGAGGGTAGAAACGAATTTGTTATGTAGGGGATGAGTATAATTGTCCAAGATGTGTCCAGTTTCTGTTATCAGGGGGTCACGGGAGTTCAGCTGCCAAATGCTTTGCTTTCTTTTTCAGACGTATTTTTGGTGCTCTTCATGTCCCATCATCAAAAATGTTTTTTGTTTTTTTTTTTTCCTCCAGATTGTTGCTGCCATGTTACTTTTTTTCATTTTGTTTAAAATCCAATTGACAGCAGTTTTGTTTGATTTGAAGAAGCTGGGTGGGTTGACCTTTAGTTACCCCTCATGGTTTTTATACAAAATAAGAACAAATATTTGACCCCAATTTTGATATCCAGGCTTCTGCCCCCTAAAGCTAATTCCCAGCTCGTTTTTGTCTCTTTAAATAACTTTGTTTTCATAGTAATCGACTCTCAGCCAGAACTTAAACTTGATCATGCTTTAATCTAAGTTGAGTAGAGCAATAGTACACTGCTCAAAAAAACTAAAGGAACACTTTGAAAACACATCAGATCTCAATGGGGCAAAAAAAAGCTGTTTATTTCTACTGATATGGAGTGGTTAATGGGTTAGGAACAAAAGGATGCCACATCATTTGATGGAAATGAAAATTATCAACCTACAGAGGCTGAATTCAAAGATTCCCTAAAAATACAGTGAAAAAATGATGCGGCAGGCTAGTCCATTATGCTGGAATTTCAGTGCAGCAACTCAAAATGGTATCCAGTAATTTGTATGGCCCCCCACGTGCGTGTATGCATGCCTGACAACATCGGGACATGCTCCTAATGAGACGATGGGCGGCGTTTTGGGGTATTTCCTCCCAGATCTGGACCAGGGCATCACTGAGGTCCTGGACAGTCTGAGGTGCAACCTCAACCTTCATTATTTTTTGGCAATGAAGATTGTTTTTAATCTCTTCAATTAATCTGACTCCTGAGGAAGATAAAATAAAACAGAAGTTATATATTTTACACTAATGGTAGGAAAAAGTATAATCAATTTATAAGTTTACACATCTATTTAACTATTGGGTTTTAATGAGAAATAATGATTATTCCTAACAGTAGAAATAGTTCCTTGTTTGTCATACATGGTAAAACAGTTAGTTTTTTCGTCAGGGAAAGCTGCTGCATAAATCTAGGCAGAGAGGCTGAGGAGCTGCTTCCCCCGGGTCACATTTCTGCTCTCCACCTGATCTAGGTGGTTTGGACAGAAGCTGGAAGAGGGAAAATGAAGTCGTCCGTGTCTAACTGGAAAAACCAGCAATTCCCATCAGCAGAGAGCTGAGGGGTTGACCTGTTAGTGGTTTGACAAAGCCAGCTCTGATTCCCCTCCTGGGTTACTGAGGGAGTTAAACAAATTAGAGTTAAAAATAGGATTCAGAGGCTCATCTATGGGTCAGAGGAAAGATGGAGTCCAGGCAGTTTATAGCGATTAAACCTTTTTCTGTTCTCTGATTCTTTGTGTTCATTTATTTCATATGTGAATACATCTATAAACTCAGCTAAAGTTCCTGTTTTCTTGCTTAAACTGCTGTGCTGCCACCTTCTGACCACATTTGACTACTACACCCATTTAAATCCATAAAACTGAAACATTTGAAGGTGGCCTCAGTGGTTAGATTTGTTAATTAATTAGAAAAACAGGGAAAAATTAGTGTTTTACAGTCTAAATAAAACGCAAACAAGAACTTTAGATTCATCTTTAGGGCTCATTTAGCACATCTCTGATGTTGCTATTTTCAAATATCCATTATGTCAACAGCTGTATATTGGTTATTTATTCTTTTATTGTTTAAACACTTTACAGTAAAGTATTTTATTGTTTATCTTTTAACTTCACTATTATGTTATTCTTATACATTTTTCCAAGGTCCACATTTTTTTGACCTTTTTTTCTATAATGTTTTACACTGCAAAAAATCAAAATCTAGATAAGTATTTTTTTCTTAAAATAAGTGCATTTGTTCTTGAATTGAGGAGGTAAAAGAGACATTTTGCCAATGGAACAAGACAAGTTACACTTAAAATAAGAAAACACAATTGCATTGTCTTATTTCAAGTGCATATTATCTAATTTTCTTATTTTAAGAGTAAAATTACTCATTCCATTGGCAAACTATTTCCTTTACTTACTCAAATTAAGGGTGAACACACTTAATTTAAGAAATTTTAAGTTATTTCTAGATCCTTTTTGCAGCGTAGTTGCTGTAAACAGCAGAATTTCCCCATTGTGGGACAATAAAGGGATTTTCTATTCTATTCTAAATAGAAACCTGGTCCCATTAAGGAGCTGATCTTGATCTCAGCTCATTTTCCAGGTTTTAAAGCTTAAATTGTTGATGTTTTTGGACTATTTATTCATTCTGTTTCTTAGACTGAGACAAGTCTAAGTGTTAATGGGAATAAGATCCATTAGAAATTGGATGGAAATGCTTGTAGGTTATAATTCTAACTCTATAGGTACATCAGCTTTATGCTGAAAAATGACTAGAATTAAAACTACCTTTTTTGGCTTCATACAAACAAACCTCAAAATCTCCTAAAATCTAGGAGTTGTCGGTTAAATTCCTCCATGTGACGCATTATTAAGAAAAAAAAAGCAGGCATGGCAGCAAGTTAGAGCTTTAAAAGCAAACAAATCTTCCCACAGGTGAAGTTGGTGCGATTGTGGAGCTAACGCAGCATCCGTGACAGAATGAAGACCGGATCTCCATGAAGCCGGCGTTAAAGCGAGGGATGCACTGATCCAATTCTTATACTTGCAGATCTGAAACCACGGCTCTGTTTGCTTCAGCAAAGGCTTTCATAAACTCATTAAAAGCAATCATGATGTGCATGAAAGTATATTATATATTCAAATATATATATATATATATATATACACATGTATATCCTAAAGGATATTAAAGATTCCTCTGAGGTCAGAAAAAGGAAACCATGTTAACAGGACAAATTCTATCCTGTTAAGAAAGGATTCACCTTTTCATCAAAGACAGATGCTTTCCTGCTGTTCAACATATTTTAATCTATATTATATTTTAATTTAACATGAATTTAGTATAGAAATAGATTAGTTAGATACTGACGGACCCCCTTTTCGCCGCTTTCAATCTAGATTGTTACAATCTCAGACTTTAATGTATTTTATTGTTTTTTTTTTCAGCTTGCCCTGCTTATCCATCAGGGTCACTGTGGATCTGGTTTCTATCTCTAGCAATCTGTGGTTGGATGTATAAAAACGCATGCACACCCTAAAGGGTGATATAAAGAAGCCATATAACCTAACAGTCATCTTTTTGTACTGTGGGAGGAAGCCAGAGTACCCGGAGAGAACCAACAAGGAGAAAATGGAAACTAGATGAAGAAAGACCCAGCTGGGAAATAAACTCATGACCTTCTTGCTGCAAAGCAATAGTGCTACAAACTGGACAGCTCTGCAGCTCCATGGTTTTTATTTTGTGATTGATGAAAAAAAAAAAAAAAAAAGGTACATGAGTGTGGAGTGAAAAACAAAGTTTAGATGGTTTTAAAAATCTGAAAAGTGTGGAGTGCATTTGCATTCAGAACCAGCTTTTGCCTTTATATATGAAGTGATTTCCCCCATTATTGTTGGAAGCATAGATCTTTCTTAGTGAATGAAATAATAGAAATGAAAAAATAATGCAATCCAGAAATGAAACATTGAGAAGCATTTTGATTAAAAAATTTGGGGAAAAAAAAGTAAATTTGTTTTTGACATTTTTTCCAATTAAGTTTTCTTTACAGGTTTTTTTTTTTTTTTTTTTTGCTCCCTTTTCTCTTTTTCAGAGAGAGTTTTAAAAATGGTGGTCTTGAGATCGTGTTTCGTCACCTTCTTAAAATAATTGCCTAAGTCATTTTTTGCAATTTTTCAGGAAACACAAAAAACTGAACCATTTGTTGAATAAATGATATTTACGAACAATTTTAATCAAAAAAGTTGTAACAACAGATGTCTTTTGACATACAAACAGCAAGGTCAGTCAAACATGGAACATGACAGAATTAAATGACTTAGGCAAATTTCTGAACATGCCTTTGTGATCTAGGCAATTTTACAGCACAAACTAACAAAACATAAGGCTGAGGAGGCATGTGCATTTTTTCCACTTCTCCTTCCAGCTCTTCTTTGCTGAGTTTTTGTCTGATGCCTATTAGTGTGGCAAATTGTCAAAGAAGTGATGACACTCGACAGGCATGATGGGTTTCATTGACTGGAGGTCCTGGAACTTTCTCTCTTTGATTGGCAGAGCACATGGAAACAAACTTATCCATACCATTGGCCCATTTGACACCTGCACTCTTTGTGGCAGTTCTTCCCACACAGAGTCTTCTGAAAAGGACAGCTTGAAATGGACCTTGCCGTCACTGCTAAACTGAAGACCCCGCAAGTCATGCACAGTCGGGTCTCCAACTTTTTTGCCTGGTCTGATGCTGAAGAAGTAAGATCCATTCAGCTTCAGGAACTCATCGTGCTTGAGCACTTTCACATAGTAAGGTGATGGCCTGATTCTTGCAGTCTGGAGT